TAGGAAGATCTGGAGGAACCGCAGTGGGACCCGTAGGAGAATCGGATGTAGGTGGACAACGTCTTGGATAAACATAACCAAGTTTAAATCTTTGTATTGGTGCTGGAGACTCTAAGAAATATGGTAAAATAGATATAGAATGAGATTTTGAAATCGTTGTATGCTAAAGAAAGATTGATTTTTAAAAAAAATGACATTCCTAGAGACACGAGTACGACGAGCATGAGAATCATAGCAAAGAAAACCTTTTTGGTGTTCAACATATCCTAAAAAAGCACACTTGACAAATTGGGCAGTGAGTTTAGTTCTTTCATGTGTAGGAAGATGAACAAAACATACACATCCAAAACGATGAAGATTTGAGTAATTCATTGCATGCCCAAATAAACGAAGATAAGGTAAAGCATTGTCCAAGGTTGGAGAAGGTAACCTATTTATTAAATAAACAAGCAATAGACAAGGCTTCACACAAAAAATGAGGAGGAACAAAAGAATTGATTAAAAGAGTTCGAACAACATCAAGAAGGTGACGATTCTTCCTTTCAGCCACACCGTTTTGTTGTGGAGTGAAAGGACAAGAACGTTGTGATAAAATCCCATGACTTTGGAGGAAAGATTGAAATTCATTTGACATATATTCGTCACTAGAATATGATCATAAGATTTTGACTTTGGTAGAGAATTGTGTATCAAGCAAGGCAAGAAACATTTTAAACACAGAGAAAACCTCACTTTTAGACTTAAGAAAATAAATCCAAGTAAAACGCATGAAATCATCGATGAATGTGATAAAATATTTATAATGCTCATGAGAAATCACCGGTGCAATACCCCGTACATCGATACGAATGAGTTCAAAAGATTTGGTGGTGCGGGTTGTATGCAAAGGAAAAGGAAGAGTTTTACTTTTACTAAGCTTGCAAGAAGCACAATCAATATTGACATCATCAACAAAAGTCAAATTTTTATTACCAAGTAAACCAGATTTAAGCAACAAGCGAAATACATGAGAATTAGGATGGCCTAAACGCTTATGCCACACCCGATCATTACATTGAACAACATTACAAACAATAGAATTTAACAAAGGATAGGAAGGAGATTAAAATATTGGAAAAAGACGTCCCACTTTAGGTCCTCGTGCGATCGTCTTCCTCGACAATTGATCCCGCACAACATAACCAAAATTTGAGAATTGAACATTACAATTATTGTCAACTAATTGACCAACCGATATAAGATTAGTGGATAAATTAGGAGACACAAAAATAGTATTTAACGAGGTTGAAATATCACCAACAGTCGTGATGGGTAAGGAATTACCATCGATTGTGTGAATATGAAGATTTCCTTTATATTTTTAGACATTGGTAAGAGGTAACACAAGTATTGGTCATGTGGTTTGAAGCACCGGAATCGAAATACCAAGGTTTAGAAGCATAATAGTTATTACCTGAAATCCCTAAAGCAGAAAAGGCAAAAACTATCATTTGCTGAACCATTTCAGGAGTAATAGAGGACCGACCAGGACTAGGAACATAAGTAGGGGTAGAGGATGTGGCGAGTAGAACCGGAAGCACTTAAGGAATCAATCGAGACATTGTAGGCTCTAACAGATTTCTTTGGAGGCCGAATGAAGCAATCTTTGATGATATGTCCTGCTTTCTTCAATAATTGTAGAATTTTTTAGTACAATTGGTGGCAATATGCCCAAATTCTCTATAACTATAGCATTGGACATTAGTCATGTCTCTACTTTCTTTAAATCTCCCTTGAGTAGCATAGGCAATAGGAATTGGAGCAGAATTTTGAGCTTTCTACTCCATGGAAGCTTGAGTAATAAGCCTCTGTTCTTCCCTTAAAAGTTCATGAGACAAATCTCCAAACAAGGAACTGGATCTCTCGTTCATTAAATTGGATCCGATTCCTTTAAAATCTCCCCTCAATTTCATCAAAAACCGATCTCGCTTGCTGGTCTCATGCACACTTTGGACAACAAAGAGTCCTTCAAAAGATACACTTGCATACACAATATCAATGTATTCAGCCCGGAGATTCTGAAAGGAAGAGTACAAATCTTGGATCGACATGTTGCCTTGAACGAGAGTGCCCATCTCAAGTTCCAATTGAAACCTTCGTGCTGTGTTGCTTTGGTTATAAACTTTCTTCAAGTAACCCCACATTTCTTTGGAAGTTTTATAAGGCTTGAGGTTGAGAAGAATGGATGGCTCGACACTTTCAAGAATCCAAGACATAATCCGAGCATCCTTCACCTCCCATTTCATATACTTTTCCTTCTCCTTCTCTCTATCGAGTGCAATATTCATCCCATCAATATGACCCAATAATTCCTTTCCCTTGACAAAGATCTAGAATTGAAATTCCCATATCGAATAATTCTTGCCATTAAATCGAACACAAATATGGTCAAATCGTTCCAAAGACATGATTCAAGTAAAAAAAAAGGAGGTGGCTAAGATATCAAATCAGATAACTGAAATCCGAATAGCAAGACAAGAATAACCAAGAACAAGAATACTAGGATCACGAAACTAGGCAACAAGATGAAACAATGTCGAAACCCGGCTCGATACCATAACAAATTAAAGAACTTTTCCGAAAAGTTTTGTGTCTTTCTCTCTTGATAGATTTACAATATATAGATATTAAGAGTACATCAAATCCCTACAACTTAGGACCTAATTACAGCGAGAAAATATATACAATCAAATAAAGATCCTAGAAGTAGAAATCAAGGAATTTTCTACACATTCCTTACTTAGCATATTCTCCTAATTAATTATAATATGATAATAAGGAAGGAATAATAAATGAGAATAATTCTATTGACGGACTATTCATCGAGGCCTTTTCTTTTCTCATGATTGTAACTTATCTTTTGTTGCCTATGCGGATGCTAACCGGGGTGGTTGCCCAAACACCCATCGTTTTACTACTTGGTTGGTGTCTCTTCCTAGGACATTCCTTGATATCTTGGAAATCCAAGAAACAAGATTGTGTCTCTAAGTCCTCTACCGAAGCTGAATATAGGGCTATGTCTCATGCTTGTTCCGAAATTACATGGCTTCGAGGCTTTCTTTACGAGCTTGGCTTTCCTCAAACCAGACCCCACACCTCTTCATGCGGATAATACTAGTGCTATTCAAATTGTGGCAAATCTTATTTATCACGAGCGTACCAAACACATCGAGATAGATTGCCACTATATTCGAGAAGTTTTTGATTCCCAACTTATCACTCTTTCGCATATTGCTTCCAATTTACAAATTGTTGATATCTTCATCAAAGCAATGACTCGAGATCGACATCGTTTTTTGATAAGCAAGCCGTCGCTTTTTGATCCTCCAACATCAATTTGAGGGGGAGTATTAGATAGCTCACAATAATTATGGTGATAGCTATGTGACAACTATTAGAGCCTATATCTCGTAAATCATATTAGTCGTAAATTAGTATGCTAATTGCTATTATTTATGGAGTAAATTAGGTTCTATAATTTAGTAACTTCCTTTTCCATAGACTTAACTTTGTATATATAAGGAGACTACTGGAACAATATCAAAATGAGTTTTGAGTTCATATTCTCTCTATTTTCTTTATAATTGATATATTGGACATTTGAAGATTCTTGTTTTCTTGAATTTGGAGGGATGCTGCAGGCTCAAGATTCTTTCAGAAAGCATTGGTGATGTAAAATCTCTTAAAACGTTGAACATTTCAGGGTGCTCACAACTTGAGAAGTTGCTGGAACGCATGGGTGATATAGAATCCTTAACAGAGCTGCTAGCAGGTGGAATTGAAAATGAGAAATTTCTCTCTTCAATTGTACATTTCAAATATGTCAAGAAGTTATCATTGAGTCGATATAGTTCCAATCAGGACTCACCATCATCTACATCTTGGGTTTCACTAATTTCATCATGGCTTTCACCAAGAGATTTCAATTGGAAAGCTTCGCTGCCAACTTCTTTGGCTGGTTGGAGTTTATTGAGAGAACTAAAACTTGCTTCCTTTGGTTTGTCTGAAAGTGCAAGGAATTGTGTTGATTTCGGGAGTTTGTCCTATCTTGAAAATTTGGATTTATCAGGAAACAAATTCTTCAATCTGCCTTCTGGAATTGGCCACCTTCCAAGGCTCCAGTATTTGAATGTTGGGAATTGCATAAATCTTGTATTAATTTCAGGGCTTCCCTCAAGTTTAGAGCTATTGGACGCATGTGGTTGCAAATCATTGGAAAGGATAAGACTGCCAATTCAGTCAAAAAGATCTCCAATTTTGGGCATAGTTGGGTACCGAAATTTAATGGAGATCGAGGGCATGAAAGGTCTGGATGATGGCTTGACGGTTCACTCTAGATACTGTTACCGTTTATCGGAAAGTTATAAAAGGAGCCTTGTCGAGGTACTGCTATGTTTTTATCCATGTCTCCTGCACACACATACAAGGATTGGACTCTCTTGAAATTAATGTTAATATGATTTATCATTTTAGATTAATCTTAGAAATTTAAATTAAAATAAAATGGCTAAGATTTTATTAGGACTTTCTCTTACTTACTAAATCTACTTCAATATAATACTTATATTATAAATATAAAATCTCGTAAAATATTGTTTTTTCTCTTTGGTTTACGGCTTTTTAAAAACCTTTTATATCACTACACTAAAAATTGAAATTTCATTATCCTACAATTGTTATAATGGAAATTAAAAAAAAATGTTTAAAAAATTATATAAATTAAAAATAATAATATTGTTATTAATGAATTTGTATTCCTACAATTAAATTCAATGAAAAAAGATCCTAAGAAAAACATAATTTAGACAAATTCATATTAGATAAAAACCCATAACATGAAGAATATATATATGACAAGTAGTTGTTCTTCTTAGAAAATATTGTTGGTTGGTTGTTAAGAGAAGGAAAATGAAGAAATAAGGTGAGAAATTAAGGGAATGGAAGAGAGGATGTGAGAGGCAATGAACGTAAGCTTGTGAGGTATAAAAAAAAATTGGTAAGATTTTTAATTTAGTGATGGAAATTATTTTTTAAAAAAATCATGAATAATTTTCGAAATTAAATTATTTTAAAAAATAATCTACTTATTTATGATGGAATTATCGACGGAAATAATCAATAAATTAAAATATTAATTGAATTTCCATCAGTAGTTAAAGCATTTTTGTTGGTAAAATCATATTTTTTTTATAGGGATATGAAATAATCACACACACACACACACATATATATATATATATATATATATATATATATATATATATATATATATATATATATATATATTGATTATTAGTGTCTAACATTTCAATTTTCCTTTATATCGACATGTAGGGATGGAGGAACAATAATTATGGGTATCAGATTTATTTTCGTAATAGTGAATTGATTCAGCTATCGCGGAGAGAAAAGTTCATTATCGTTTCATCTAACTCCAGTTTTTCAAGGGTTGGCTATTTGGATTGTCCTTAAATCTCAGTTAACTGCTACTTGTGTAGGTAAGGTTTTTATCAAAAATAAAAGCAACGGTATTCAATTGTTTGAAAGTCGCATAGGAGTAACTTTTGGGACTTCATCTTGGGTGAGATATGTAAGAAAAGGTGAGATGGCAATAGAAGAATATTGTGGAGAAGAATTTTGAGCTGTATCTGCAAATAGCGAAGGACAAATGGTTTTCATCTTATATTGAACTCAAAGAAATTGGGGTTCATGTGATTGTAGAGAAGCCAGATTCATTTGAAGAGTCAGAGTGGAAGTGGGAGTGGAATAATGACACTGATAACCAAGAGTCGCAGTGGGAATGGGATCATGACATTGGGACGCTGCAAAGAACATCTTCGGGTGATGTTGAAGAGAGGGATGAGATTGACAGCCGAAGTGGAACAGATAGAGTGATACTTAAACTATATCATCGTCGGCTTCATCATCCCTTTTGGGTTCAATTGCACCTTCTACTAGGGAGCAGTGGATAACTTATTTACTAGAGATGTTGCCGGCACAATTTGTCTTCTACATGGCGTATTTAAAATAATTAGAATATTGGATTGTTATTATTGCCTGAAAAGTAATTCAATAAAAAATAATAATTGGTTTGGGATGATTTTTTTTTCTTTTTAATGAACCCCCTATTAGTTGCTGAAAGTAACAGGCTACACAGAGGCCTTTTATTCTAGGTGCACATCTTACTCCGCGTCGCCATGAACACCACCAAAAACTCATTAAAACAATTCCCAAAGTGGAACATTGACTCCTTCGCAAATGGATCAAACGTATAAACCAAATAGAATAGAGCAGCTTGGACCCTTGACCTGCATGCAAAAACTAATATATAAACCTACTTAGGAAATATCTCCGAAACTTTGGACTTCTTTGGTATCCTCCATTATTAATCTTTGCTCTTATCTCTCCATACTCTTGCAATTCAGCTTTGTTATTGTACTTCCTGAGTCTGAAACAGGTAACAATGAAAAAACCATGAAAAGAATAAAAAACAAATATTGATTTATCAAATTGATTAAAAAATAAAAAGAAACACAAATCATGAAAGTGCATATGTGTTAGAAAATAATATAAAATTAAAAATTAGTAATATAAAACCATTCCTAAACCTTATCTAAAAGATTAAGTTTTTGAATGAGGTCCTAAAAATGATTTTATATTACTCTATAACAAAATGCAAGTGCCAGATTATAAAGGCTACTTGGTGACTTATAAAACCCAATTGTTTCATGATGATCTTGTCAAAAATCTTCATTCCCTTACAAGAATTATGAAGGTCTTTAAAAACTTCATCAATTTATGCCGAAATAGCTACAAGGCGAGTGATTCTTAACTTTCATCTAAAAAAGTTGAAGAATGTTGCATAATAGAAGTGATACCAAATAATACATACCATGATAACTCGATAGAGACCAATTCCGAACAAGAAGAACATAGAAGAATTGAATGAATCTATAAAGAATTGGAAGAAATACAAAAGGAAATAAAAGAGTTATAGAGAAGAAAGAGTAGAGAGAAGAAGAGAGGAATCCTAGTTTGCTAACAACCGATTTCCCACATTCTTTCGCTCCTTTTTATCCCTAACCGATTGACTCGACTACTAACTAATTGCTAACTAATTACTAACAACTCATAACAACTAACTATTCCATTTGCTAGCTCCATAACTTCCTTGCCGACTCATTGCCATTAGCTAGCCATGTCAGCTCTTACTCGTCTAACTCATCATCTTTAATTTCGGTTCAACATCTTTCCCAAATGATCTATATCAATACCCCTCCTCTTAAGAAACCTTGTCCTTAAGGCTGAACTATGGAAAATTTCTCAATTTTTTTAGACTTCTCGATACCATTCCGACCATCAAATTCCAACAACTTTGGTGCAAAATTTCCTAGCTTCCTTGTAGTATTGAGTTTTAGCTTACAAGCCGTAGCATTAAGCTTGCAAGAAATTTCAGCACCTTGTCGTTGAAATATGAATCACAACCTTTAAGATCAAAGTTAACATAAAAAGCACAACCATCAAAGTCTTCTCCGGAAAACTTAGGAAATTCTACTCTAGATACCCTACTCGTTGGAATGGTAGCCATAATGATCGGCATTGTATCCACCCTAATCGTATCCATCATTATTACTAGCAATAGAAAATCCAAACTCAAGTTTGTTTTTGTCTATTGCTCTTTCGCCGAATAACAGTTTTAGAAAATTAATCCCAAAATTGTTTACATCACTTTTTGTAGTTAAATGACCTATTGCCATGTATTTAGGAGTTATATAACCATAGGTACCTATAACCCTTATAAATACATGGCCTTTACTACTCGTTGGCCAACCCAAATTCATAGAGTTTGGCCCTATAACTCGAGTCAAGTAGGATATTAGACGACTTAAAGTCTTTGTATATAACTTTTGCCTTGTCATTATAAAGATATGCTAGGCCCTTAGTAGCATCAAAAGCAACCTTCATGCAGAGATTCCATAAGAGTGGTTGAAAATAAGAAGCCCTTCTTAATAGATGATTCTCCAAGCTTCCTCGGGCATAAACTCATAAACCAAAAGCCAATGCTCATCTTCTAAGCAATAGCCAATCAATTTTACTAGATTCGAATGATACGATTGGCCAAGGTAGTTGATTTCGCCAACCATTCCTGATGACCCCGGAAATTTTCTTGATGAAGCCTCTTTACAACAATAACCATGTCTGTTCCAGTGCTTGCAAGCTATCAATGAATGCTCATCAATCGACCCTTTGAAGATACAACCAAAACCACCTTCACCTAACACGCTATCTACACGAAGTTCCTAGTCGCCGCTTTTAATTCACCAAAGGAAAAGCTTTTCAAATTGGAGAACTACAAGATCTCACCCCGTGTTCGAGGAGTCGAAGGCATTGTGGAAGATGAAACCTTGCTACTTTACTCGATCCTATCATTCCCATATTTTGTGTTTACCCCTAATTCTCGAGGAATGTTAACTCCATTGACATTTCTAGTTTCACCATTATTAACACCATTATCTTGGTCAATAACCACCTTATCAACCATTGGAATTTTAAACCCTTTTTGGTATTCCATCGAGCCAATAAAATGTGAACCCTTTTGGATTTCCACGTAAAACACCACAGACTCCAAACACTCTCAAATTCGATAATTTTGATGACTTTTAATTCTCTTAGATTTATTCTTCCAATGGCAAATCCATTACTTGATTCTTGATGAATGTTAACTCCATTGACATTTCAAGTTCCACCATTATTAACACCATTATCTTGGTCAATAACCCTCTCATCAACCATTGGACCTTTAAACCCTTTCACAATCTCTTTCAATTCAGTAATATCCCTATGATATCATTCAAACACATGATTGCATTTATCAACAAACTCAAAAATTACCTTAGACAGGTGAGAAATTGATTCCTCCATTTTCTTTAGTTCGGATTATGCTTTCGTCATGATGAATCCGTTTGTTTTGTGTTACACGGTGCGAGAAAGCCGCTTCGGTACCAATTGATACGGATCAATTCTAGAACAAGAAGAACATAGAAGAATTGAATGAATCCATAAATAATTGGAAGAAATATAGAAGGAAAATAGAAGTGTTACGAGAGAAGAGAGAGTAGAGAGAAGAAGATAGGAATCCTAGTTTGTTAACAACCGATTTTCGACATTCTTTCGCTCCTTTTATCCCTAACTAACCGACTAATTACTAACTAATTACTAACAACCCATAACAACTAACTACTCTGTTTTCCAACTCCATAACTTCCTTGCCAACTCATTGCCATTAGGTAGCCATGTCGACTCTTACTATCCAACTCATCATCTTCAATTTTAGTTCAACATCTTCCCCAAATGATCTATTTCATAACCATAACCAAATATATATATGCACCAAGTAGTAAATCCCTAGAAAGTAGAACCCTATGATCAAAAGGGTAATAACTCCCTCATTTTTCAAATATGATCGGATGTTATGAAAAATGAGTTTAAGTGAATGAAGTCGAGTTGAATTGAGTCGTGAGTGGATAAAATTTTGTTTCCAAGGTGATCCCGAACACCTATTTTGTGCAATATCCTTCGGTTCAATCACGTCTTCAAGAATGATTAAACACATATGGACTCACACAAATTTCTCTTGCATAATTGAATCAAGTCCTTAGAATTGCAACTCGACAATGTCATTATTATAGGAAAAAATTAAGGACAATAAACAACTAAATTGTAAAATTGAATACAAGCATTGAAGAATAGAGGGTACCATTGTTGTTAAAGCGATATTGGCCACCGAAATATCCGAAAGATACCGGGCACCTTAGTTTTGCTAATCATATAGTAAGTCATAACATTATTTATAATATAGGTTTTATCTTCTATTTTTCTCGGTTTGTTCCTCGACAAGGTTCCTTTTCAACACAAATTAGAACATAACATATTCAAAATGGTGAACAAAGCATATTCTCTATTTTAACAAAAATGAAATATGATTCCAATTGAATATTAATTTAATTTAGAAGGATCGCTTCTAGTTTTTCTCCACTTATTTTTATTTGTTGACTAGCTCTTCACGTAAGTTTCTAGAGCTCGGACTAAGCAATCCTCCACGCCTAGGATTCACCACTACTAGAAAAATACCAATTAGCAATAAAAATTAGCGACGAATTTTAATCCGTAGCTATTTAGCAACAAATTAGCAACGAATTAGAGAAAAACTATAAAAGGTTGAGTTTTATGATGGATTACCGATAGACTAACGAGGGATAATTAGCGACGACAAAAAATCCATCACTAACTAAGGCAGGGAAAAAAGTGCCAAAATTTACGACGGCTTTGTGGTCGCTAAATGAAAAAATTAGCAACCGAATATTTTTTGTCGCTAAAATTTCTAAAATTTAGTGAAGTGAGTGATGAATTTTGGAATCCATCGCTAATTAGCGACGGACATCAAGTCCGTTGCTAATTTGTGCCTTTTTAGAAAGCGAGATTCCCCAAAATGACCCAAAGTTAACAACGAATTTTGGAATCCGTGCCTAAAATTAGTGATAGAGTTCAAGTCCATCGCTAATTTGTGCTTTTTTGGGGGAAAAATTTCCCTAAAATGGCCCAAAGTTAGCGACGAATTTTGGAATCCTTCACTAGAACTTCAAGTCCATCGCTAATTAGCGACGGACATGATGTTCGTCCTAATTTTTGTCATTTTTAGGGAGAAATTCCCCCAAAATGGCCAAAAATTAGCGACGAATTCCAAAATCCGTCACTAATTTAGAATTCATTGCTAAAATTAGTGATGGACTTCAAGACCGTCACTAAGGGTTAAGAATTTGAGGGGAGATTTCCCCCAATTAGCAACGGACCCATAATTCATCGCTAATTAGCGACGGAATCGGGTCCGTTGCTATTTTTTCTTTATATATCCTCCTTCTTTTTCTTCTTCTTCATTTGCTTCTCTCACGTTCACCACACCTCATCTTCTCGTCACCTCCCACAAAAACACCCACCCACGCAACCCCACACCACTAAATCTTTTTCAAAACCATTCAAAAAAATGAGGGGTATCTTTTTCCCTCAAAATCGATTAGATCCGTGTTTTCTATCCTTGATCTATCGAGTAAAATTTTCACTCTCTAACTCTTATTTTTTAAAAATTAGATAATTGTTATAAATTTTTAGTTAAATCTTCTTATTTGTTAGTTTATTAATTATTTGAATGTTGTTAGCTATCTTGTTATGTTAATTTTTTGTTATGTTAAGTTGTATGTAGTAGTTTAAATTTATTAGTTGTTATTTTATTTCTATAACTCGTTAGATTAATTTTGTTAAGTTTTATTTTGTTGTTATGTTAATTATTAGGTTAATTTGTATGTTAACGTAATCCTTAAAAATTTAAATTTTGTTAATTTTTAGTTGTTAGATTAAAATTTAATTATTTAATCTTAAATTGTTGTTTTAATTAAGCGAATTAATTAGGTATTTATTTGTTTTTAGTGTTAGGTTAATTTGGTCAGTTGTTTGTTTAAACTTAATTTTGAAACTATATAACTTTCGACGTAGTTTAGTTAAATTTGGTTGAAATTATATAATTTTTGACATAGTTCGATCATTTCGAATGTAAATTTTATAATTAAGTTTATTAGTTTAATTATTAAAATTGAAATAAGATAACATACATAATGATTTGATCATTCATTCCACTCGGCTTCCAGTTCAACCTCCAGTCGAGCCCTCGACACAATATGAGGATGAGGATATGGGATTAGACGAGCGAGGATGAGTGATATAATATTCGATCACTTTGTTTGTTTTGTTGTTTTTTATGGAATGTATTCTAGAATGATTTTGTTAATATTATTTTATTTTTCATATATACATGATTACTTATAATTGTTTATTATTAAATATCATATCAATAATTTAATTTTGAAAAATTCAAGAAAAGCGACAAAATTATGGAAAAATCGTTTTCAAAATTAATGATAGAATAGCAACGAATTGGTGACAATTTCGTTTTTCAAAATTAACGATGGATTAATTTTCAAAATTAGTGACGGACTAGTGACGATTTATTTTCAAAATTAGTGATGGAATAGCGATGATTTATTTTCAAAATTAGAGACGAAACATCAATGGATTAGCTAGGAACAAAATGACCGATCCGATGACAAGATTAGCGACATATGTTTTTGGTTTATTCATGGATTTTTCGTCACTAAATGTTAGGAAGGATTGAGTATTCCGTCATAAAAAATTAGCGACAAGCGAAATAGTGACGAAATATTTTTCATCACTATTCACAAATAACGATGGAATCAAGGTGTTTAACGACGGAATATTCCGTCGCTAAACTCCATTTTTTTTTTTGTAGTGAGAAACAGAGGACTATGGACTATTTTGATATTTGGGATCAAACTTTGTTATTGATTAACTTTTAGGAAGAAGGACATAGTTTGGAGATTGAAGCAACAAAAGTCGTCGGTTGAGGCCGACTGAGCCGAGGATGTTAAAAATGTGCCTAATCTAGCTAGAATAATAATTAAAAAAAAAAACAATATCAACCATAACATGATCTATACAAAAGAATATATATAAAAAGAGAAAGTAAGAAAGAAGAGACAAGAAGTTGTTCTTCTAAGAAAATACTCGTTGGTTGATTGATTAAGAGAAGGATGAATAAATTTTAGAAATTAAATTATTTTTAAAAATAATTTACTTAATTATGGTGGAATTATCGACAGAAATAATGAATAAATTAAAATATTAATTGAATTTTCATTGGTAGTTAAAGCATTTTTGTTGGTAAAATCAATTTTTTTTTTAAATAGGGATATGAAATAATCATAGCCATCTATTAGAACATAAAATCTTAGAATTTAACTAGTATGAGTTCTAACTTGAAGAGAATCCATATATATGGATATATGTTGATTATTAATGTCTAACATTTCAACTTTTCTTTAAATCAACATATCGGATTATAGGCATGAGATTTGTTTTCATAATAGTGACGTCATGCCAAATTGGTTCAGCTATCGAGGAGAGAAAAGTTTATTATCGTTTAATCTACCTCCATTTTTCCAAGGGTTGGCTAGTTGGATTGTCCTTCAATCTCCTCCGATGTTTAGTCCTCCCAAAGGCAACGTTTTTATCAAAAATAAAAGCAACGGTACATTGCTTGAAAGTCGCATAAGAGTAGCTGGGGATTCATCTTGGGTGAGATATGTATGAAAAGGTGAGATGGCAATAGAAGAATATTGTGGAGAAGAATTGGAGTTGTTTCTGCAATTATGGAATGACGAATTGGTTTCATCTAATACTGAACTCAAAGAAATTGGGATCCATGTGATAGTAGGGAAGTCAGATTCATGTGATAACCAACAAATATCATCTTCTGTGGACGTTGAAGAGGAGTATGAGATTGATAGCCAAGAGTCTGAGTGGGAATGGGATCATGACATTGCGAAGCTGCAAGGAACAACATCTTCTGGTGATGTTGAAGAGAGGGATGAGATTGACAGCCAAAGTGAAACTGAGAGAGTGATGCTTAAACTATATCATCGTCTTCATCATCCCATTTTGGGTTCAATTGCATCCTCTACTATGGAGCAGTGGATAACTTATTTACTAATGTCCCGAGCGCGATATTTCACCCTCATCTTCTTTCATCCTTTTAGGCACCATACGAAATCATTCCTGGACCCTCGTCCATAAAGGTTAAGCATACTATTTTCTCCTTGAAAGGCATTGTTGTTAAAATGGTGACATGAATGTCTGATTAAGAAAATATGGTTGTTTAGAATATAGGTTTTGTTTTCTCCATTTTTCTCGATTTGTTCCTTAGCAAGGTTCCATTTTAGTACAAACGGGAACAGAACATATTCAAAATGGTGAACAGAGCATATTCTTTGTTTTAGCAGAAATGAAATATGATTCAAATTGATTATTAATTTAATTTAGAAGAATCACTTCAGGTTTTTCTCCAGTTATTTTTATTTGTCGACTAGCTCTTTAAGTAAGTTTCTAGAGCTCAGACTGAGCAATCTATTGGAGCATAAGTCCATCATAGGTCTGCAAAGTAACAAATCATTTCCCTTTGCACATTCTGTTATTTAAATTTCTTTTGTATGGACCTGCACCTGCCTTTGATTCTGTCACAAGCTCGAGGCTCCCTCACGTTCTCTTCCTTCTGTTTCTAGATTCTCTACACAGTTAGATAATTAGTTTTTACTTGTATATATATACCTCTAATGCACACCTTAATAAAGTGAGAGAAAACATTTTCTTTCCATTCTTTCTTTGTTTATTATTCTTGTTATGGTATCAGAGCGTATTTTTATGCTTCCTCTATTTCTCGTCTTATAGCCATAACGGCTATTTTTTGAAATTTTCTCTTCCTCACTTATCTGCTTCCTCCCTTTGAAAAATGCCATGAATAACCTGCCCTCTACATCAAATCCATCTAGACCAGCCGAGGAGTTCCCTTCAAGTCCGTACTATCTCCACCCAAACGAAAACCCATCCTCTGTCCTTGTGTCAACCCCCTCACTAGATCCAACTATCATGGTTGGTCCGGATCCATGGGTATGGCTTTGTTGTCCAAAAAAAAATCAAATTTGTAGATGGTTCTATCTCAATGACTGATCGAAACCATGACCTTTACTCTTATTGGAAGCGATGCAACATCATGGTGCTATCATGGTTGTTACAATTAGTGTCTGAATCAATAGGAAGCAGTGTGCTCTAGCTAGACACTGCAAAAGACATTTGGGATGATCTTGAAGAGCGTTATTCTCAGGGTGATGAGTTTAGGATCTCTGATCTTCAGGAAGAGCTTTATTCTCTTCATCAAGGCGCGTCAACAGTCTCTGACTACTATACACACTTGAAGATCCTTTGGGATGAGCTTACAAACCTCAGACCAATCCCGAATTCGGGTTTGTGAGCCAAAATGTACTTGTACTGCACTTACTGTCATCTGAAATTATAGATCCAATGATTATGTAATCAAGTTTTTGAGAGGACTGAATGACAGTTTTTCAATTGTTAAGTCCCAAATCATGCTACTGAATCCATTGCCTTCCATCAGTAAGGTCTTTGCCATGGCATCCCAGCATGAGGGACAATTTATGCCTTCTGCTAGCTCTTCTTCCTCTGATATTGCAGCTAGTGCCTTCTATGGCAAGACCATTTCCAAGTTCCAAGGGAAATCTTAAAATGCGTCTCAAGGTTCAAAATGGTATAATGGACCTGGACCACAAACGACATATCCAGCTAATTCTCCCATTTGTTCATACTACGGGAGAGAAGGACATGTCATCGATAAATGCTACAAGATGCATGGCTTCCCTTCTAGCATGAGAAACAAGCCCAGACAAACAATGAATTCTATCAATTATGTTGATGTTAGTGGTAAATATTATGGAGATACCAATCAAGGAAGTAATCTCTCAAATGTTCATTATGCAAGTACGTAGAATTCTCTTCCTGCAAATGTTCATTCTGCAAGTACGTAGGATTCTCTTCCTGCAAATGTCCCTCTCACACAAGATCAATACTCTAAGTTGATGACCCTCATCTAACCTAATTTCGCCCCTACAATAACTTCTCATGCCAACACTATATCCTCACATTTTTCTCTCATAACTGAGATGTCATGTAATTATGTGTCTATATGTTCATTCTTAAGCAACACAAAATCCTTTCAAAAACATATCTGGATTATTGATTCAGGAGCAACAGATCACATTGTTTGCTCTCTAGACTATTTCACTTCTCATAAACCTGTTGATAATGTATTTGTTAAGCTTCCTACTGGAAAGCTCTCTTCTGTCTCTTATATCGGTCAGATTAAACTCTCACTTGATTTTGTTCTCCATTCTGCCCTTTTTTGTTCTCATATTTTCTCTCAATCTTATATCCACTAGTAAGCTATGCTCTACTTCTAACTGTTGCGTGATTCTAAAGTCTAATTGTTGTATCATTCAGGACCTGGCATGCTAGAGGATGATTGGATTGGGTAAACAAGTAAATGGCCTCTATCAACTCGTTCATCTATAATTTTTTAGAAATGCAGACTTCCCTACTCCCAAATGCTCCTCCTCTGTTGTATCCATCAACTTTGCAAAAAGTTCTCTTCAAAAACATTTTGTCACTCCTCATATTTGGCATAACAGACAAGGACATGCTTCCTTACCTAGAATAAAATTACTGCAAAACATAGATCCTTCCATCACTATGAACTCTGATGTAATCTGTGACATTTTTCACTTTGCAAAACAAAAGAAGTTATCATTTCCTGTCAGCACATCTGTTACCAATGAATGTTTTGAACTTATTCACACTGATATTTAGGGTCCAATGCATGTTAGTACATTTCAGGGTCATAAATATTTCTTAACCATTGTTGATGACTTTAGTAGAGGTACATGGATCTTTCTCATGAAAGCCAAATCAGAAGCTAGAACGTTGCTCTAAAATTTTTTGCACCTTTGTCCCAACACAATTCTCCATTTCTGTCAAATACATCAGGTCAAATCAAGGAAAAGAATTTGACATGCCAGATTTCTATCGATCTCATGGCATTATACATCAGACTTCTTTTGTTCGTACCCCACAACAGAATAGTGTGGTGGAACGAAAACATCAACACAATCTCAATGTAGCTCGAGCCTTAAGGTTTCAAGCTCACCTTCCTCTCTCTTTCTAGGGTGAGTGTGTCCTACATGCTGTTTACCTAATAAACAGAATCCCTTCCCCTATTATCAACAAACCATACTCCATTTTACCTATTATATCACAAGACACCTTGTTACAGTCACCTTAAACTTTTTGGTTGCCTCTATTTTGCCTCCACTAATAATCATGGGAGATCAAAATTTGACACAAAAGCTACTAAATACATGTTCTTAGGTTTCTCTTATGGCACTAAAGGTTACAAGTTATACAATCTTCAAACTAAATAGTTTCTTATTTCCAAAGATGTAGTATTCATGAAATTGTCTTCCCTTTCCACTCCTCTTCTTTTTCTTATCAAGATCCTATTCAAAATCATTTTTCAAACTCACCAGACTTGACTTGTCCATCCTATAATACTTTTGAACCTATTCTTCCCTTCTTTTCTGTCATACCCTCTCTATCCACTACTCAAACTCCAACTCAAACTTCATCACCTCATACTCTTGAACTAATACCTTCTGATCCAATGCTTTCTATTCCTCTTAGAAGGTCCACCAGACCACACATTACCCCCTCATGTCTTCAAGACTACCATTGCAGCCTCATAACACAATTGTCTCAATCCAATCCATCTTCTATATCAGGTTCGGAATCATCATCATCAGGTAAAATCTTTTCACCTCATTCCCTAGCTTTTGCTTTGTCTTACAATAATGTCTCTTTCCCACACAAAGTCTTTGCAATTAACATTAGCACTCAATCTACACCCACCACTTATAATCAAGCCAATAAACAATCTTGTTGGAGAGATACTATGCAGGCTGCGATTATTGCCTTACAGGATAACGACACTTGGGAAATTACTGACTTACCTCCTTCCAAATGCCTTATTGGCTGCAAGTGGGTGTACAAGATAAAACACAAGGCTAATGGCTCTATCGAGAGACACAAAGCTAGACTTATGGCTAAGGGATTCACTCAGCAAAATGGAATTGATTATCTTGAAACCTTTTCTCCTGTTGTCAAAATGACCATTGTCAAGACCTTTATTGCCATTGTTGCTACAAGGAATTGGTTTTTGCATTAACTAGATGTCAACAATGCCTTTCTTCATTTCTTCATGGTGACTTACATGAAGAGGTATCTATGAAACTTCCCCCAGGTGTCTCTTCTCCTAAACCTAACCAGGTATGCATGCTTCTCAAATCCATCTATGGTCTAAAACAAGCAAGTAGGTAATGGTTTTCTAAACTTTCAAAAGCTTTACTACAACAAAGGTTCAAGCAAGCACAGTTAGATCATTCTCTGTTTATCAAATCTACTGATTCTAAATTCATTACAGTATTAGTTTATGTCGATGATATAATACTTGCTAGTGATAATATGGTATGCATCGATCAAGTTAAAAAATTTCTCCATAATGCCTTCAAGATAAAGGACCTAGGCAATCTGTATTTCTTCTTTGGTTTAGAAGTAGCCAGAACAGATTTTGGCATCAACCTCTGCCAACGCAAGTATGCTCTAGAGTTGCTAAGTGACACTGGCTTTCTCCACAGCAAACCTACCAAAACTCCATTACAGCCAAAAACCCTTTAGGCAAAAGATGATAGTAATCCACTAGAAGACATAACCTCTTACAGGAGGTTGATTGACAGGCTATTATACCTGAACACAACTCATCCTGACATCTCCTTCGTTGTTCAACAACTCTCTCAATTCTTTGACCATCCTACTCAATCACATTTGACTGCTGCACATCAGATTCTTAGGTATATCAAGGCTGCCCCTGACCAAGGGTTATTTTTTTCTTCTGATTCGACTACCCAATTGCAAGGCTTCTCTAACTCTGATTGGGCAACCTGTCGTACCACCAAAAAATCCATGAGTGGTTTCTGCGTCTTTCTTGAAAGTTCACTCATCTCCTGGAAATCTAAGAAGAAAACAACAGTATCTCGTTCCTCATCAGAAGCTGAGTACAGAGCCCTTGCCATTGCAACATGTGAGATTCAATGGTTACTCTACCTTTTATCAGATCTTCATGTCGCTCACCCTCAAGCAGCCTTACTCTTCTGTGACAATCTTTCAACAATCCATATAGCTGAAAACCCTATCTTTCACAAACGGACAAAGCACATTGACATTGACTGTCACATCGTGCATGAAAAGTTACACGCTAAAACTATTAGACTCCTGCCTATTCCATCTGCAAACCAGCTAATAGATTGTTTCACCAAGGCACTCCATGCTTCTACACTTCATTCTCTTATTTCCAAGCTTAGCATCCATGACTTGTATGTTGCAGCTTGAGGGGGTTATTGGAGCATAAGTTCATCATAGGTCTGCGAAGTAACAAATCATTTCCCTTAGCACATTCTGTTATTTAAATTTCTTTTGTATGGACCTGCACTTGCCTTTGATTCTGTTACAGGCTCTAGGCTCCCTCAAGTTTTCTTCCTTCTGTTTCTAGATTCTCTACATAGTTAGAGAATTAGTTTTTACTTGTATATATATACCTCTAATGCAGACCATAATAAAGTGAGAGAAAACATTTTCTCTCCATTCTTTCTTTGTTTATTATTCTTGTTACAATCCTCCACCCTTGGGATTCACCACTTGTTCTAAGAAACAAGGGACTGTCCTGATCTAGCTAGGGGGTTAATCCCACCCCACAAATGCTCTCTTTCACCTTTTAACTGTTTATTGTTGCACCATGATATATGTAAAAAAGCACATGTGATGAAAACACCTTATAAGATTATTGTCTAATTAATTACAATCATAAGAGCTTGCCAAAAAAAATTGGTTTTTATTCTTTATTTATTTCATTTCATTTCATTTATTCAATACCTAGCGGCTAGGAGATTCAATTCACTTTCAGTCATAGAATTCAAGTCTTAATGAAAGTCACGAGAAATATATATACATATTAGTTGTCTTTTTCTTATGTGAGTGATTTGCTTTTGATCAAATGAGAAAGGTGGATTTAATACTGATGTATGAAAAATTGACTAAAAAAATACCCTGTTGCCATAAAACCAAGAACTAAATGGTTTTTATTCCTTTTAACATCCAAGGGAAACCAAGAAATTCGTTCTTATCGCAGTTGTGCAGTCACTAGTTTTATTACTTGAAAAAGAGAAAATGGAAACGGAAAGTTTCAAAAGCTATGCTCTTTTAATATTTCTGTAGTTGTCGGCCTTGTGGATGTGATGTTACGATTACGTAGTCATTATGATAACTGTTTAACTACTCAAATATATATAATTACCTGATGTGAGCTCAAGCTTATTAGTTTATGACCTACCTTGTTTGCCAATCTAGCAACAAAGAAGTGACTTGCAAAATGCCAAGATCATGTATGTGAGAGATACTAATTTTGCAATTATTTGTACCGACATAAAAAGTTTAAAAAAAGACCAAAAAGCTTGTAGCTCAATGACAATAATCTCTTACAACAAGGGATCACAAGTTCAAATTATAGAATCTTGAGTGTGTGATTTAAAAAAAAAAATCTATTTTTTAAGCTCTTTTGCGATTCAGACCCATTAGAGCATGTATACATCGCTCCTATTTAGGAATTAAGATTTTTTGCTTTTTTGTTAATTTTCTGTTTTTATCAATAATTTTGGATTTGAAGTTGATTTTACTTTTCTGGTTTAGTCCTTGATTAACTAGGCAGGCTATTTATATTATTTATGGGTTTTTGGCTCCGTTATTAATTATTTAAATTATTCAGACCTGTGAGTTTTTCTATAATTATATTCTTTTTTTCTATAATTATATTCTTTTTTCTTTTTTTTCACAAGATGATATTAATTAAACAGTAGACGAAAACTAAATAGCACAGAATACAGGAAAATAGTTGGTTAAAACTACAATAGCCATATTCTCAAGTATCACAAAGTAGGATCTCTTGATTGTAAGCAAAATAGGCCCAATAAGAGGCAATGATATAACCAATTAAGGCATATATCCATTAAGCAAACAATGGATGATATTTTATCTCATGTCATGAACTTTACTTCGCCTTCAGTTTCTGTCCTAAGCTTTCTTTTTCGTTCCCTTGTATCAAGAGAGAGAAGAAATGGCAGCCATGGTAGACATCGAATCATCAAATGTTGTTATCAATTGTATTTGACAAAATAATTTGGCCGCATAATAGAAATACTTGAATATTTTAAAAAATGCTAAACACTAAGGGGGGAAAAAAAAAAAAAAAAACTTCGTAGAAAGATTATGAGACGTTGGACCATAATCTTAAAATGGTCTCAATGATAGGTTTGACGTGAAGTCCATTAGGAGTTTAGCAGTAATCTTTCCCCTGCTACTGTACTTACATAATTTGCTACTTATCATCCAAGATCTTAATTTATGGTGAAAGCTTATAAATGGGCAATAGCCCTCATAGATAAATTTGGTGGATCAAGTAAATATCACGTGGAGCCTGTCGTGGAAAAATATATATGTGTTTGGAACGTTAGTCAATGAAAGGAAAACAAAGGAAAAGGACATGGGTGGACGTGGGTGAGTTCATAAATTATATATAATAAATATGACTGTCAAATGATCTAAAAAATGCAGAAATTTTGGCAAATTGGAATAACCCTAGACCTTTAAAATTTTTAATTTGATACCATAAATTATTTTTTTGATAATTTCGACCGTATATGATGATCTAAAAAATGAACAGATATACATATATATCCTGGAAACAAACTCTTCAGTTTGCCTTCCTAAGCTTCATTCTTTGAGGGTTGAGGAATATTGCTTGAAGCTTCTATCAATCTCAGAGCTTCCATCAAGTGTACAGATCTTGTTTGTCAATAATTGCACATCAATTAAAAAAGTAAGAATACCAATGCAGCTCAAAAGACTATCTTTATGGATGTGAAGGGGTGCAAAAATTTAATGGAGATTCAGGGCATGGAATATGTGGGCAATAACTGTTAGAAATTAAACGGCCCAAATCCAAAGTCCAAGTCCATCAACTACATACCATGCACGATGCATAGTCACACCTTCTGGATCATCTGAGTATAATTCCTTCAATTTATATATCCTTGATTCTACTTTTGTAAGATATTCTTTTTCATACTCTTGAACTTACCATTTCAAATAAGCTGCTTCATCACAAAAATCAGACGAAGTGCTTTACACTGTTAAGTGATATCAATGATTCAAAGTTTATAGGATTTTCTTTTTCGTTTCAAATAGAATAGAAGGTGGGTTAAATAAATGGGCTTCTACATACATACCTTTTTTAGCTAATGCTTTTCCCACCCCGGACAGCAAAACCAGCCCCCAAGGAGTGACCAGCCACACATATGCTGTTGCTTTCTTACATTTCAGCAACTGATTTTAATGACTCTTGTTGCTACCCAATGGAACTTTCGAAAATTAAAAATTTATCTAGTTTGAAATTATTTTTGAATTATTCTGAAGATATGAGTTATTATTGATTTTACAAACCAGCCAGTTAATATTGAAGAAATTAAAAACCTAAAGTAAGCATTAGTTAAGAAATTTTACAATAAGAAATTGGTTACGCTTTTAAAAAGATATTAATCATATAAAAGCGTCATTTCCTAAAGAATGTATCATGTCTAATTTAGTTCTAAAATTTGTCTCCTAAAATAATTCTATTTTTACAAAGATTAATCTCGGTCGAAATTCCAAGTTTTTTTTTTCCTTATGTCAAATTAAGTTTTTTATTTTTTGTTTATGACATCATATTGAATTTATCGTCCGATCTCTTCGTCGAAAGATACGTCAATTCAAACATCAAATCCACTTTAAGTCTCGACATAACGAGTATATCAAAAAAACACTCTAATTACTAAATGATTTTTAGCTAACAATAGTTCTTATTATATGAAAGACTTTGTTTAAAAAAAATAATAACAAGAAATAACAAAAATAAAAATTAGCATTTTCTTTTTTTCCTTTTTTCTATTTTTTTTATTGTTTCCTAACATTTTATCTCCTTGTTTTCCTCTCTTTCTGTTTTTTTCCTATCTCTTTTTATTTTCCTAACATTCCCTATTTTGTTTTCTTATTTTTATTTTTTTATCATTATTATTCTTTTTTTTTTTTTTTGTGAGGAATCGTCATCGATCTCTAAAAATTAAAAGATTTTACAATTCGTCATCTTATTAACTGTAAAAACTTAATAAATCTTAAAATTAGACATTGACTAAATAAATTTTGAGAAATCCAAAAATTAAATCTAAATTAAGCAGGAAATAAAAATACATGAATAAAAGATATTTATCTAAAAAAAATGAAATTATAGCATTGGGTGTGAGGGTGTAAGGTCAGTGGGCTCTCAGCCCACTGGGCTGGCCAGGCTTTCCATTTTCGGGCTTGGTCTGGGCTGAAAACAATCCAAGTTTTGATTATGTGAGCTGGGCCTAGCCTAGCCCGCATGAATTTCCCACGGGCTGGACCTTCTCTATTTTTTTTAACCAGACCAAACTCACCCTCCTGTAACATTTTCCTTCACCCAGACCCAAATTAAACAAGATCAAAATTCCATACCTTCCATCTTCTTCCCCTTCTGCTTGCTCTGATATCAATCCTTCGGTCAACAAGCAAGTTTGCTCCTCCAATAAAAGCAATGAACACAAGGCTTGAGATCCCAGTTTCGCCCCACTTCTTTGGTGAAAATTTCGTCACTTCTAGACCAGTTAAGGATTGCAACACTGTTGGTGTAACTTCTCTAGGTCCTTCCAAAACAATGTTGCTTAGCTTTCCCAAAATTGGGCAAGAACCCTCTGTTCTTGAGGAACCCGTAAACACTGGCAACAAGATCCGCGGTCATCAGCCTTTAAACAAGTGTCCTAAGCCTCCAGATCCCTCTCTAGCCCATCAAGCAAACCCAAGTCACTGAGTCCAAACCGAGTTGCTGACTCATTCGGAAATGACCCATTAACTTCATCAACTGGATTGTCATTGTTTTTTTTTTTTTTCTGTTTGGTTTTTTTTGGAGTGCCATTGAAAAGAAAGAGAGATAAATAGGAGAACAGCTGGAGTGGGAAAGAGTGAGGGAGTATTACAGACTGTTTTAGGAGGGAAGAAGATGATGGGTGACGGATGATGACTAGTCGGGGAGAGAGGACAGTGGAGGAGCTGGGTTCGGCTAGAGATGGATCTTGGGATGAGAGGATAGGGTAGTTATGACAAGGGTTGTTGGCAGTTATGATGGAGATGGTTTTTTGGTTTGGGGTTAGTGGAAATCGGGCTAGTGAAGGTGAAGAGGGTGAAGAGGATGGCAATGGAGATCAGTAAAGAAGTGGGTGATGGTTTTGGGGAGTGTGCACGCCAGGTGTTTGTGCATTTGTTGTCAGAGATGATGGGAGAATCTTGGGTGTAGCGAGTTCTGCTTGTGGTGGCTGTGTGGATGGTGGATAGGACAGCCCATTCTCTTGTTGCCAGCAGCTTTCGGTACAAATTCGAAAAACAAACGTCGTTGACTTAACTGGTCATTGTTAGGCGGCTAAAATGATATCACGATCCTGATTTTTAAAAAAAAAAAAAAAAAAATCCGAAGTCTGATTTGGGTTGTGTAAGGAGGATTGAACTAGGCTGGGCTGGACTAACATTTGCAAATTGTGTGCTTATAGTGAAGTATAGGGTAAGAGTTAATAAAATAAAACTGATTAACCCAAATTTGAATCAAAATACCAATTCAATTTGGTTTTTTATTAAATTTGAATATTAAAACACCATAACCAAATTAATTTTGATTTGGTTCTTAAAATATTTAATTTGATTTTCCATCAAAAACAGAACTATATATATATGAAATTATAAATTATTCCTAGTTGTTATTTAGAGTTTGATAGTTCCGTTTACAATATATCAAAAGAAATATTTTTTTATTATTAAATATTTTAAATTTTAATATGTTATTAGGTGACATGGCATTGTAATTTAATTTAATTTGAATAAATACTTATTATTGTTTATGAGAAATTATCCAAAGGTCTTGAAATTCCACATTGGATAAGGATTTTTTTCATTCATTATATGTCACGTGTAATTTTTTTTTCATGTGGGATAAAAGAAACCCTTCATCTTCTCTTTCATCCTCTGTCTCTCTCTCTCCAGCGGCTTGAATTTTTTTTTTCTGTGAGCATTGACAACAGCAAGAGACAAGAAAAATTTATGGACAAGCATCGACAAAGAAATTGAAAATATGAGTTAGAATCAGATGAACATTATTTCTCTTTCTCTGAAAAGCTCAAATACAGATGCATGACAAGTCTATATCATGTTTAATATCATCATGTATCCTATATGACGGCATCTCATAGAAAGTGCCATCTTTGGTTCTTCCTCGCAACCCTTTTTTCTACCAATTCTTAGACATACAGGTTGAGATGAAACATCCTAAGGTTGATCACTCTAGATAACAAATTTTCTAGCACTGTAATTTTCCACTATAAATCCAACATGAAGAGAAACCCACATGGATATGGTTTGTGGGTTGTCACATAGATACGGTTGAGGAAGGAGCCACCCACAGAGAGAGAGAGAGAGAGATGGCGGAGGAAGGAGGAGTTGGGCGGCAAGCCATCGGAGAGAGAGAGAGATGGGGATGAAGGTTTCTTTTTTTTATTCAGTGTTTTTTTTATCCCACATAGAAAAAAATTTACACATGACACACAATAAATGAAAAGTTACTTACCTGATATGAAATTCCAAAACCCCTGGATAATTTCTCCTTATTTTATGTACTCATTTAAAAGTATCCAGTATCCCACTAGAATGGGAAGAAGACTCAGAAGGCTTCGCCACAGAAAAGTAGATCGATCGCATGTGAAGTTTTTAATCAAAAAGCCCTCTCTACGATATGACCCTTTCTTCATCAGAACTCTACATGCAGAAAAATACAGCGAAGGTAATGGTCAGAGATACAGGTTGAGCAGAAAGGATCTCATGTTATACAAGGCAAGATCCATGGAAAGATTTCATTCAGACTATACAGAATACCAGCTTATTGGAGAAGATGACTATCATCAAGTCTTTTTCGAAATTCCGAAGGAACCTCACATTCAGAATATCTACGCCAGCACAGCTTTCCAGCTTCAGATTGGTTCGATGACCATGATCAAACTTCAGAAGAAAACTTTATGCATGACGTCAAAACAGAATCTTCTGGCAGAATCCAGCCATACTGAGTCATGTAGACCACTCGGCTTTCCAATTAAGTGTCAGTGGGGCACGCTTTACTTTTAATAAGTGGGAGGCATTACCAGAAGGAAAGTAGTCCAACTCAATGTCTTACGCATCAGTGGCATTTGAATGAAAGCAGTAAGTCAGTGGCCAAGAATCATCGATTTTGGAGTTACCAGCTCATGGGAATTTCTTTAAGTAAGAACGATCCCCAGCCCTCTTCGTCTTCTCGAAAGGAAGCGAGTGACTCAAGGTATGCCAGCGCTCTTATCTCTTGACCTGAGACTAGGTTGGGGGAGTTCAGTGAATCTAGTCTCAATCTATATTGCATGCTAATTTTTTTACCTGCATTACGTTTTAGGTTAGATAAAATATATAAAATTATTTATAAAAATTATTTTAGTATGATAATCTATTTTATTATTTAAATCTATAAAAATATATGAAATCAAAAATAAAAAAATTATTTAATAAAAAATTTTGTATTTAACTTTTCTTATTTGTATTTTTCATAATTTTTCTTTTAAAAAAGATTTATCATTGTTAATCCATGAATTATTAACTAGAAAATCAAATAATTTTTTTTAAAAAAGCTTTAGTATTTCATAAGATTGTGTCAAAAAATAAAAATAACAATTATTAAAAGCTTACATAGAATTGAACAAATAATATTTTTTAAGTTAATATTGATGAGAATATCGATTTTTGAAAAAATATGAATTTAATTTTTATATATTTATTTATAAAAGAATGAATAATATTAAAATAAAAACTATATGAATTTGACTTTCAACTATTAATTAATTAATTTGAGGCTTTTTTCTAAAAAACTTGATAAAAAATTATTTAAAATACATTTTTAATCTAAAAATATATTTTAGAAAAAATTATATATATTAATCATGCCATCGTAATTTAAAAGCTATATAAATCTATTTTTCAAAAAAAAAAATCATATTCTAAAAATTTATTCCAAAATCCATACATATAGGAAAAATAAATCAAAATTGTCGGTAAATATACTTTTAAATTAATTGGATGATAATTTTAAAAAATGACAAATTAAAGTAGTAAATTTTAAATAATAAAAATAATTAACAAAAAACATTAAAACAAAATGGGATCAAATCACAGGTATAATCAAAGTTTGAAATTAAATAAAAAAGAATTTTAAAAAATTGAAAAATTATTGTATAAATTTTAAATAGCATTAAAAAAACCAAGAATAAATTATTTGAAAAACACTTTTAATCTAAAAATGTATTTCATCTAAAAATGTATTTCGGACAAATTATATGTATTAATCATGCCACTATAATTTAAAAATTATCTAAATTTATTTTTTAAAAAATAATAATCATGTTCTAAAAATTTATTCAAAATCCATACATATAGAAAAATAAATCAAAAATATCAATAAATATAATTTTAACTTAATTAGATGGCAATTTTTTTAAAAAAAAAATGACAAATTGAAGTAGTAAATTTTAAATAATAAAAATAATTAATAAAAAATACTAAAATAAAATGAGACCAAATCAAAATATATTCAAAGTTTGAAATTGAAAAAAAAAAACGAGAGAATTTAAAAACAAAATGACAAATTAATGTAGTAAATTTCAAATAATATAAAAAATTGAGAAAATTATTTGAAATATACTTTTAAACTAAAAAAGTATTTCAAAAAAATTATATATATTAATCATGCCGCTATAATTTAAAAATTATCTAAATCTATTTTTCAAAATAAAAAATAATCATGTTCTAAAAATTTATTCCAAAATCCATACATATAGAAAAATCAATCAAAACTATCAGTAAATATGATTTTAAATTAATTGGATGAGAATTTTAAAAAAAATGATAAATTAAAGTAGTAAATTTTAAATAATAAAAATAACCAATAAAAAACACTAAAACAAAATGAGAGGAAATAACAATATAATTAAAGTTTGAAATTGAAAAAAGAAAGAGAATTTTTTTTAAAAAAATGACAAATTAAAATAGTAAATTTTAAATAATAAAAATAATTAATAAAAAACACTAAAATAAAATGAGACAAAATTAGAATCCATTTAAAATTTGAAATTGAAAAAAATATATATGAAAAAATTGAGGACCAAAGTGTTACAAAAATATCATGAATAGTGAAAAGAATAGTGATTTATGAGTGTGTGAATAATATTTTAAATAGTGAATAAATAGTATTTTACTTTAATTTTATTGATAATATATATAATTAAGTTTGTCATAAATAGACATTGTTTCTATGAAATATTAACTCCCCACTCCTTCGAGCAAATGCCATACACTTTCGTTTCTTTCCACCAAAAGGTCACACGCAAACTCATTTGACACGTCTCTCTCTTTTTCTTTACATGTCAGTCCATACAGATTTCAAATGCTTTATTATTAAGCAATTTTCTACAACGGTAGAAAATACAATTTCTAAATAAAATAAAACTCAGCTTAAAGAAAAAGCTAAGGAGGAGTTAAATATAATTCAATCCTTGTTGCTTATCATAATTAATTAATTAATTCTTATAGTATTAATAATAAAAAAATCCTTTAATCAATATTGACTTTTGGATTCAATATTAGCTATTGAGACAGTTCTAATTGTTTTTTGTTCCAAAGTTTTCTTTTTTATGAAGTGTCTCATAAGATTTGGAACCTCTCAAGTTATTTAATAATAAAAAATTAATTAACCTGCCATAAAGTCCAAGAATTCGACTAGTTTCACATAAAATAAAAATATAATTTGAATGGAAATGTAGATAGAGAGCTTTAAAAGTACATAAAAGTTCTCGATTGAAAATTTATGAAAGTTTGGAGGTAATTAAAATGGTTATAAAAAATTTATTTAGTAGTAAAATTGAGACTCTCTATACAATCAGGGAGCATTTCTTTAGGTTTGTCAAAAAAAAAAAAAAAAAAAACCTAAAGTGTAAACAGTTATCACCACGAAAGCAAATTTTTCTGTCTAAAGAAATTTTTAAGGAGTTTACGCCGCTTTAATTGTGAAGTAAGGATTATAATAGTGGATCAGCTACCACCACAAAAAATCACCACTCAAGATTATAAAATATTATAAATTCAGGAAACAACATGGTCATGTCCTTCAAGTCTGAATCATCTTCCTCTAGAGTTGGATACAGTTATGATGTCTTTTTGAGTTTTCGAGGGGAAGATACTCGCAAGAAGTTTACAGACCATCTTTCTTATGCAGTAGTTCTAGCAGGAATCCATACATTTCGTGATGATAATGAACTTCCTAAAGGAGAAGAAATCTCCCAACAACTCCTTAAGGCAATTGAGGAATCAAAGGATTTCTATAGTTGTCTTCTCCAAAGGTTATGCTTCATCAACATGGTCTCTTGATGAACTAGCAATGATTATGGAGTGTAAAAATAGCATGAGGCAGATTGGTTTTCCTATATTTTATCATATTGAACAATCTGACATTCGCAAACAGACTGGGAGTTTTGCAGAAGCCTTTAAGGTGCATGAAGGATGCTTTAAGGAAGAAATGAAAAAGGTCAACAGGTGGAGAAGAGCTCTAAAGAGGGCTTCGAATCTATTTGGATATCCTTTAAAAGATATAGCAAATGGATACGTCTTTTCATTTTAAGATCCACATGCATGCAGACCTTAATAAGAACACAATTTTTATGAATAGTTACGAAAGATTATATATTAGCTTTGTTTTATAATATTAAGTAGCAGCAAACATGTTTGAACATATTTCATTATGTTGTCATTGATGAGTTGCGTTTATATATCTATGAACAGGCACGAATCAACATTTATTCAAAATATTGTTAAAGACGTGTTGAATAAATTTAATTGCAAATACATCCATGTTGCCAAGCACCTAGTAGGCATTGATTCTCTGGTTGATAATATGTTGTCTTGGCTAAGAACTGAAAAAAATTATGTCCAAATTGTTGGTATACATGGGATGTCAGGAATTGGTAAGACAACTATAGCAAAGGTTGTATTTAATCAGCTCTATAATGGACTCGAGGGAAGTTGCTTTCTTAAGAATGTTGCAGAAAAATCACAACAATCCAATGGCTTGGTTCAATTACAAGAAGAGCTTCTTTGTGAAATTTTGAGAAGAGACAGTTGGAAGATCAATAATGAAGACAAAGGAATCAGCTTGATCAAAGAACGACTCTATCACAAAAGAGTTCTTGTTGTACTTGATGATGTGGAGAACCAGAAACAGATAGATGCAGTGGTGGGAGAGGGAAGTTTAGTTGGTGTTGGAAGTGTAATAATCATTACGACTAAAAATGAAAATCAGCTGGATCGATTTCAGACAATAGTAAAATATCAAGCTAATTTATTGAATAAAGATGAGTCCCTTCAACTTTTCTGTTAGCATGCCTTCAGGGACCCCTATCCACCAAAGGATTATGTGGAGCTCTCAAACAAAGTAGTTAATTACTCTGGAGGACTTCCTTTGGCTCTTGAAGTTTTGGGATCTTGTTTGTCCAAGAAAGAAAAAATTAGATGGGAAAGTGTCATTGATAAATTGAGAAAAATTCCAGAACCACGATGTTCAAGAGAAGCTTAGAATAAGTTTTGACAGACGGGATGACGACAAACTGCAAAAGACATTCCTTGATATTGCATCTTTTTTTATTGGTAGAAAGAAAAAATATGTAGCAAAGGTACTAAAAGCTTGTTGTGGTTTCAATCCAGAAGATGATTTGGGAACTCTCATCGAAAAGTCTTTAATAACAATTAATTATTTGAGTGAGATAAAAATGCATGATTTATTATGAGACATGGGAAGAGAGATTATCCGTAAAATATCACCTGACCATCTTGGAAAACGCAATCGAATTTGGCATCATTAAGATGCATGGAATATCCTCGTCAAGAAAATGGTAAGAACTAAATGCTTATTCAGAACGTTCTATGCAAAATCACAGTCAGAGGTATTTCTTTGTTTTGATTTTTTTTCAAACGCTCTGCTGATCTTTAAGAAAATGTCTTTCTATAAATCTATTTCCAACCAATCATATGAGAGTTCTATTGAATTTTGGTGTTTTTCAGGGAACAAAAGCTGTAGAGGGTCTTGCACTGGATGTGACAGCATCAAAAGTGGAACCTTTAAGCACAGAATCATTTACAAAGATGAAACATTTACAATTACTCATGATTAACGATTTACATCTCCTTGGATGCTTCAAAGTTCTTCCCAAAGGGTTGATATGGTTGTGTTGGCATGGATGCCCTTTGAAATCCTTGCCATCGGATTTTGAACTGGGCAGCCTTGTTATTCTTGATTTGCAGTACGGCAACATCAAAGAACTTTGGAAGGAGACCAAGGTATGTAAAATGCAATTTCAAAAATTAAAATTTACACGTTACAATGCAATTTCAAAAATTAAAATTTACACGTTACCTTTTACTAGCTTTGTTTGAGTTCTTTTGCTTATTTAATGCTTTGCCAGATCCTCAATAAGTTGAAAATTCTCAATCTCAGCTATTGCAAGGACCTCGATAAAATGCCAAATTTCTTAGGACTTTCCAATTTGGAGAGACTAATACTTAAAAATTGCACTAGTTTAGTTGAGGTACCACAATCTATTGGACATTTGAAGATGCTTGTTTTCTTGAATTTGGAGGGATGCTGCAGGCTAAAGATTCTTTCAGAAAGCATTGGTGATGTAAAATCTCTTGAAACTTTGAACATTTCAGGGTGCTCACAACTTGAGAAGTTGCCAGAGCACATGGGTGATATGGAATCCTTAACAGAGCTGCTAGCTGATGGAATTGAAAATAAGAAATTTCTCTCTTCAATTGTACATTTCAAATATGTCAGGAAGTTATCATTGTGTGGATACAGTTTCAATCAGGACTCACCATCATCTACATCTTGGGTTTCACTAATTTCATCATGGCTTTCACCTATAGATTTCAAAGGGAAAGCTTCGTTGCCAACTTCTTTGGCTGGTTGGAGTTTATTGAGAGAACTAAAACTTGCTTCCTTTGGTTTGCTAGAAAGTGCAACGAATTGTGTTGATTTCGGGAGTTTGTCATCTCTTGAAGAATTGGATTTATTAGGAAACAAATTCCTTAATCTACCTTCTGGAATTGGCCACCTTCCTAGGCTCCAGTATTTGAATGTTAGTGCAAAAATCTTTTATTAATTTCAGAGCTTCCCTCAAGTTTAGAGATATTGTATGCAATTGATTGCAAATCAATGGAAAGGATAAGACTTCCAATTCAGGCAAAAAGATCTCCACGTTTGATCGTACATGGGTGTCGAAATTTAATGGAGATCGAGGGCATGAAAGGTATGGATGATGGCCTGACGGTTTTCTATAGAGACTGCCACTGCTTATCAAAAAGTTATAAGAGGAGTCTTTTTGAGGTACCGCTGTATATGTTTTTATCATTTTAGTTTAATCTTAGCTATTTAAATTAAAATAAAATGGCTAAGATTTTATTAGGATTTTCTCTTATTTCTATATTTAAAATTTAACCAAATCTATTTTCTTTGTGTGCTACCAACATTAAGATTTTGTTATAGAATATACTAGATTTTTTAGATATGCTATGCCGAGGATCGGACAAAAATATGTAAAATTATTTTATTTTGATATCTCATATTATATTGTGTGTCTATTAAAATACATCAAAATTTATATTTGATTAATCATTTTTTATATTTTTCATAAATTTTTTTATCAAAAAAAATTATTTAATAGTATAAAGAACGTCAAAACCAATGAATTCTTAGCTAAAAATTTATTTTGTAACTTTTTTAAATATTTTTTTTGCCTTAAAATTTTTTATTTAAAAAATCGGAGAAAAAAGGACCAAAGTGACAAAAATAAAACAAAAAAGAGGGATCGAAACAAAAGAAAAAATATTTTATGAATTGAAAAACCATATATAAAAAAGAGGGATCAAAGTACAATGCTAGGAAAACCTTTATAATAAATGTATTAAAAATGTTTAGAAACTACAAAAATGCCTCCGCATAGTGCAAGAAATAGTACATATGAGTCTAGATGAATAGTGAAATGAGTCCGAGTGAATAGTATTTTAAATAGTGAATGAATAGTAAATAATGATTTAGTTTAGTTTTATATACTAGTTCGATACTCGCATTATGTCGTGAGCAGATTACCGTTATATACGTAGAATTAATGATTCATATGGTGTAATACGAGTAAAAAAAATTATTTTTGATGATTAATGTAAATCGAATCTATATATAGTTAATTTTTAACAAAACTAATGATATATATATATATAATAAAACTTGTGAATTTTTTTAACTCATTATTATTTTTAAAAAAATACTTTTAACTCTCTCTCTCTCTCTCTCTCTCTCTCTCTCTCTCTCTCTCTCTATATATATATATATATATATATATATATATATATATATAGAGAGAGAGAGAGAGAGAGAGAGAGAGAGAGAGAGAGAGAGAGAGAGAGAGAGAGAATAAAAGTCTCATTTAAAAAATAAAAATAATTTATTTTATAAATTATAATAATATATTTTAAAAAATAAAATATTGATGTTCTAAAATGCTCTTCCAAAATTTCATATATTAAAAAACTAAATTTATTAACAAAAAAATTATATCAAAAAATTAAAAAAATTAATTTAATGAGAATTTTAATAAGAAATAAATAATTGAATAAATAAATTTTAAATAATAAGAATAAAATAATCGGATATGTATATTAACATCAATGTCAAAGATATAATCAATATTAGTTCAAGGATATTAAATGGATCAATAATATATATGTTTTCTTTCCTAGTGAAGGGACCAATTATCTATGAATGCTTAACTTGTAAAGCACTTGCTGGAGGTCTTGTAATGCTATGGCAATATATATATTCTTTTAAGGGTTTCCTTTTACCTCTTAGTGATGCAATCTTAAAAAACATCAAGATTTAAAATAATTAGTCAAATTTTTTTTTTTTTGTTCTATCATGAGATTGATGTCCGGACTTTTAAAAATATAAAATAAATTATAGGAAGAAAAAAAAAGGGCGGGGTCGCATCCGGTTGGCCGGTGTGGCTAGGAGAGGCTAACGTGCTTGGGCTCGCGAATGTAGGCTCGCACGCCGAGCCGGGGCTACTCGGGCCCAAGCCCGGGGCATTTGGGCCTAATTCTCCAAGCCTCAACTCCTATTCAACCCAAAAAAAAATTTCTACAACTTCCGGTGAACTTTAGCTCATCGGAATCTTTGTCGAAAATTCATGGGTCCAATTTCGGACTCCAAGAAACTCAATTCCAGCATTATTTTTTCCCCAAACACCTCTAAATGATTGAAATAAAGTCAAAAAAACACTTTTAAAGCCTTAAAAAATTATTTTAATGCACATTAAAACAAAAAGGAAATACATAATCAAATAAGATTTTTTCTTCTTTTTTTTTGCTCCATCTACGTGCTCCAATTATTTGATGGCTTGAAATCACTATAGAAAAACTTATCCTTCAAAAATATCAAGGACCAAAATGTTAAAAAATTATAATATATAGTAAA